CCAAGGTACGAGGTTGATATTTTGCGAATCGGTTGGGATTTGATTGTGATTGTGATGGTTACTTTAGAAGTAATGTTTACCCATTTTGAAGCTATTAGTAAGGAGTTGATTCTGCAAAAGGATTTTTTGTTCTCTTGTGTATGTACTGTGCTCAGTGTTCGCCAGAAATTGAAAAGGGGCAAAAAAGTTTGAGCTAAAAACATGAATTAAAACACAAACATAACTTGAACCTTGAACCTGTGTTAGGTACTTCTTTCACTTCAAATATCTTGGTTTGAAATGTTTTAGCATGATATTTTTAACATGCATGATTTGTCATAGATCAAAGTTTCTGGGCATGTACATTTTCTGTTTGACGGCAGGTAAAGATTGTCCAGAAATGTATTTGTATTTTTCATTAGGGGGAGGGGGAGGGGTACTATGAGGACGGTCACTTTTAAAAATTTTCTGTTCTTGGGTTAGGAAGCATTGTACAGTATTTACTTGTACTTTTTGGGATATACAATTGAATTTTGTATAGTTTGTTTCTGTAGTCTGCTTCACAGAACTGGTATCTTGGGTCCCCCTGACCACTACCTGGGGGACGCACAAGGCATTTACACGTCATTGGTCGGATCTATTTCTTCCTCGCACTATTTGCTCTACCGGAAGTTTACTAATTGTCTTGCCAGCCAAAACTTCTACACCTCTTGCCTTGATATTTAGAGGCCTTGACAACTGTGCAAGGGCTTATGGCAGTTTATCAGGAATCTCTGCTAACCAAGTGATGAACTGTCATTGAAAAAAAAAAAAAAAAAGAAAAAAAAAAGATATTGGCAAGTGAAATTAAATTTGCTGTCTTCATGTACTACCTTTTCCTGAAGTCCAAAAGTTGCGGAATATTATCCTGTAGGGGTTGCCAGATATTCCCATTTAGGGGTTAAATTACCTCTCAAGAATGAAACGTGTAGTAGAGGTACAGGAGTAAATTGTTGATACGAAGTATCTTGAGTGACTTGATATTTACAAGTATGGAGAGTTAGCCATTATACCTGTCGACAATAGCTATTGCAAAATATTGCAATCTTTGGGATAAAGTGCAGACCATTCAGAATGCCTTATAATGCCAGAGCATACTCTGGAATGAAAATTTATCACAATGCAATTTTTTTTATAGTGGTATGTATGTGTATATAGTGCCCTATGTATGCCTCCTATGTACCTATGTATGTATGCGTATCCTATGCTCGTATGCCATGATGTGTATATATATTTTATTTATTTATTTTTTGTATATTGGATGTAGCCCAAATTCTATATGCTACTGTAATATATATTTCAACAATTGGCTGCATGAATGAAATTAATTTTTTGTTTTATATTTTCAGAGCAAATTCGACAATTTGTATGGTTGCCGTGAATCTCTCACTGACGGAATCAAGCGTGCTACAGATATTATGCTGTCTGGCAAGACCTGTGTCGTGGCTGGCTATGGTGACGTAGGCAAGGGCTCCGCACAGTCCCTCAGGGCTTTTGGTTCCCGTGTCATCATCACAGAGATTGACCCCATCAATGCCCTTCAGGCTGCTTGTGAGGGTTACCAGGTAAAGTGTGCCTTGCCCTTAAGAAGTATTTTTGAAGTTTGACCTCAAAGGCATTTGGGAAGTGTTGAGAGTACCTTTTTAGATTGGATGTCCTTAATGTTTCATTATTCCGACGACCTTAATTTTTCATTGTTATTCTTGCAGGTAACCACCATGGAGGAGGCCATCAAGCAAGGTGCATCCATTTTCGTGACCACCACTGGTTGCCGTGACATCATCACTGCCGAGCACTTCAACTCCATGAAGGATGACTCTATTGTTTGCAACATTGGCCACTTCGACATTGAGATTGATGTGAAATGGCTCGACGAGAACTGTGTCGAGAAGGTGAACATCAAGCCCCAGGTCGACCGGTACCTGCTCAAGAATGGAAACCACGTCATCCTTCTGGCCGAGGGTCGCCTGGTTAACCTTGGCTGTGCCATGGGACATCCTTCCTTCGTGATGTCCAACTCCTTCACCAACCAGGTCCTGGCCCAGATTGAGCTGTGGACCAAGCCTGGTCAATATCCTATTGGTGTGCACTTCCTGCCCAAGAAGCTTGACGAGGAAGTAGCCCGTCTCCACCTCGACCACCTTGGCGTCAAGCTGACCAAGCTGTCGACAAACCAGGCTGAATACCTGGGACTACCTGCAGAAGGACCCTTCAAGCCAGAGCATTATCGTTATTAAATTTCCAGAGTACAATTCTGTTGTAAAGCCCAAAGCCTGGTGATTTGTAAATTTGGTGTATGCTAGTCCTTTTTCCTCAAATTGGAATTAATTTAAAAATGGTCCAGTTCAGCTTAAGGGGTCTTGAAATAATAGTCAGTGGCAATGGATGTCTAGTAATTGGTGTCCTGCAGAATTTTAAAGCCCTTCAAGCTTTTTGGGTGATACAGCTGTGTGAATGAGCTGGATGAGTGTATGGAGTGAGGGTCAAAGTTGTAAAACTTTGATAAATAAACAATTTTTGTAATTTATTTCTTTTATTACACTTTATATAATCTCTATATACATGTGTAAACACTTGTTTCATATTTACTTTCCTTAAAATATAACCAGTACGAAAAAGCATAAATTTGGATTGAATTTTCAATATCAATTACTGTGTGGTATAACATACAGAAAAAAAGTTCGTTTATCTGAAATTAAATGTCCACTTATGAAACCATTTGTCTTGACAACCTGGTTGTGCGTCATCTATTTATTTGTCTTGTCAATAACCTTAATGTTTGAAAATAAAATTCATTTATTAGACTAGTCTTTTCAGCTGCCCTTTAAAAACCAGCATTAATAGATGTTTTAATATTGGATTTCAAAAGTCGTCGTCAAAGCCACTTGTAGTGTAAAGTTAAAAAATGGTACTGGAGACAGGTAAGTAATTTGGAAGATATGTCAAGTAAGTGGCGAAGTAAAAGTAACCCAATATGTATGGGGTAACACGAGTAAAATTTGTACTTGAATATCTTGATATGAATGGGAATGTCATTGGGAATAAAACTCAATTGTTTAAGAAACAGCAAAACTATTCCAAATACTCCCATCCCATGCCTGTTGTAGTAATGCGGGGGAGGGGGGGGGTACTTAGGAGATGGACTGGGACCCAATGCTGGGGATGACCCCTTCCTTGGACCTCTGCCCTTTCATTGACTAATTTTGCATGGTCTTCTTCTCCCCCTTTCCTTTTCCTTCTCTTCTTTATCCCCTCCTGTCCATTTCCTAAAGAGCCATGCTGAAAGACGATTTGTCAATCTTGAACAGGCTTTGTTGAAAGGTAATTTCATGAAAAGTATGTTATGGGAAATGTTATAAATACGGACAAACGAAAGGAGGATTAATCATCGCAAATAAAACAAGAGGTGTGGAAATTCCTTTACTAAATACGCCTTTAAAATTCACACTAATTTCGTGTTCTCATTTTCATACAAAAAAATTAATATATGCTCTAAAACAATATAATTTTCCTTTGAAACACTCTACACAATTCTTAAAGAGAAAATAAATATATCTTATAAGTCAATATGTTCAATACAATTTGCATCACATCTTGAAAGAGTTCTTCAATTAATATACGGAATTATAGAAGTGGATATTCAACTACATAGCTGGCAGGAAGAAATGTGAAGTACATTACCTTAGCCCTTAAACACCACTATATGGATGGAGATAAGGAAATACTGCATATAAAAAACTATATCTGCAATATCATACAACATTTGTGCTATCTCAATATCATAATTTTGGATTGCTCAAAATGTACCATTAACTGTAAGTCTGCTCATCAGACAAATGTAATAAAATAATCAAACTTCTAGCCAATATCAAGCTGAAGACAAGCTCCATCTGACGAACTTACTAATCTATGTTATACCCTGACATTATTTTCGTGCAAAAGAATTACCAATCGGAAGAAAACCAAAGATCGCAAACAGTCTTCGCAGGATCTTATCACATGAATTTTCATATTAAACAGAGATAAAATGAAGACAATAACACCATACAATGACTCCTTTGAACCAGAGGAATGTTCCCATAAATATGGCTTAAAATAAATAAGTAATAGACCAGTGTTGGTGTCTGTAGTAATATCATTATGCTTACTCGAGAGAAAGAGAGAGAGAATGGAGAGTAGAGAGAGAGCAGAGAGAGTAGAGAGAGAGCAGAGAGAGAGAGAGTAGAGAGAGAGAGAGAGAGAGAGAGAGAGAGAGAGAGAGAGAGAGAGAGAGAGAGAGAGAGAGAGAGAGAGAGAGAGAGAGAGAGAGAGAGAGAGAGAGAGAGAGAGAGAGAGAGAGAGAGAGAGAGGGAGAGAGGGAGAGAGGGGGTGAGGGGGAGAAGGAGAGAGGGAGAGGGGAAAGAGAGGAGAAAGAGAGGGAGAGAGGGAAAGATAGAGGTAGATAGATAGATAAATAGATATATAGATAGAGAGAGAATGGTCTGGTCTGCCAAAACCATCTAGATCCCGTAAGAACCAATGTGACTTCCATGGACTGAGAAAGAAGAGAACGATAACAGCTCAAACTTTTTTCTGTGTGATTGCTAACACTCCTCTTTACCTGATATATTATACAATTCTTAAGAAATCATACAGCCAGCCATGACTTTTAACAACTAAAAGTCTTGAAAAAAAATATCATAGATATAAAAGTGATACTGATAAAGTATACGCTCCAATATCAAAGCAGCACTTGTTACATAAGCACTTTTTGTATTAGAAAAAAAAGGAGGAACTGTTTAAATTTCAGACTCTGGTATGATAGTTCATGTGTACTTAACTTTTTTTTTTTTTCTTTTTGGCAAAATCTCGTAAATTAATAAAATCAAAATGGCTACCCATATTACATGAGAATTAACAATACACTTCCAACTAATAAGAAACTTTTAAGAATAAGAAAAAGAAAAAGGAAGGAAGAAAAAAAGGATGAAGGAAAAAAAAAAATATATATATCTAAAAAACATGCTAAAGAGTATCTTAAAGTCTACCAATATATGAGGACAGCCGATTCTTTTGTTGCTGATAATAGAACAACGTCATACATAACTATAAAAAAAACAAATAAATATTTCATTATATACATAGTATCAAAATATACAATCAAACTGTGCACAACTGTGTTCTCTAGGGCATTAAAGTATATACAGGGAAAAAACAACAGAAAACAAATTAAACAACAATAGAAAAAAAATAAAGAAAAGAAAAAAGAAAAAAAGACAAAAAATTGGTGTAAACTCTCATGGTGAATTATGGCACACAGTCAATATGAAATCAACGTGCGTACACAACCAGTTATGTGTCTTCAACTGACTGATCAAAAGACCAAGCTAAACAGCATAATTATTTTTTTTTTTTTTACAAGGTGGAAAGATGGTATGTGTTATATTGCACTGAGAAACTGAATGATATCGGCCACTCCCTTCGCGGCTTCGTTAGCTTTTTCAACTAGTCTGTTTTATTGTCTGAGGAGGGCATCAATCTGAAACGAAGAAGCAGAAAAGGTTTTAGCAAAATGAATAACACTCTAATGTCTTTTTTTGTCACGTACTTTCGATGCAGCTGCGGAAGCTTCATTTGCAAAGTCATTCTTCAAAAATATCCCTATGCTATTAGACAAAGAAATAATCAGGGAGAACTCTCTTATTTGTCAACCGAAGCCTTACCTGCGCCTTATACATCTCCTTCACATCTGCCAAGTCAAGACGTAATTCTTCCACCTCCTCTACCTTCTCTCCATGCATCTGTTATAGAAATCATTATTAATAATCCTCATACTACTCTATCTGTGTCAGGAAAACAAAACTGATTCTTGTGTGTAGTCGCTTTCTCAGTGCACTGCTTAATGGTGAAAAATCTGTCTCTTGGTCTTGATCTATAACAATATGCAATTTGCAAATCCATAAAAGTGGCGTCACTTTAAAGCGTAATTCTCACATACGATAGGAACTTCACCTACTTCTTTTCAACTTCTTGAGGACCTACCTGTAGCAGAGCATTGTATTTTTGCTCCATGTCTGTATATTGTGCCTTGAGTCTCTCAAAGTCCTGCACTTTGGTCTGAAGTGTTTCAATCTGCCTCGTCATTGAGACAAGCTCTTGCGCTAGGGACTCACGCTGAGCCTCGTACCTTGTTACTTCACTGTGAAGGTGGTGGACTTCTCCTGAAAGTTTTAAATTGTTTAGTACGTCGTTGGAAATACAATTATTTGGAATTAAACAAAACATCTCTTTTTTGCACGAGTTGGCTGAAATATGAATATGTGACATAACTAACAATAATCTTACAACACAGGAACAAAGACATGGAGTCTGCAAAGTAACAAAATCTGACGAACATCGCACCTTCTCTCTGTCGTAGCTGTGAGGTAAGAGCCTCAACTGTGGCAGTCGCATTTCCTCTCATGGATTCATAGAGGGATGTTCCTCGAGACCAACCTGACTCGAACACTTCATCCTGTAACACAACAAATGAATATTACAGGCAGTCTTTGATATGCAAGTAATCCTCATCACTTACACATTCTATAACTAAACTGAGAGAGAGGGAGAAGACAAAGAGATGAATAAGAAAAAAAGAAAGAATGAAAGAAAGAAATAGAAGAAAAGAGATTAAGAGATATAAAGTTAGAAAAGAGAAGAAAAAGCAACAATAACTTTGAAAAGAGAAGAAGTAAATATGTTTGACACAAAGAAACAGACACAGATGCAGTCAGATGATGGCAATACATACACAAAAAACAAAGATTAACAAGATCAAAATAAACAGAAAGAAGTCCATTCCCACAGCAACTCACCCCCCATTGAGATCCAGAGAAAGACTCGTTCAGGGACCCGGTCATGGAGAGACGAGACAGAGACGGTGTGGGTGAAGAGCGTGGGGTGCTCGTGTGGCTCTCCCCTGCACCGCTTGTGGCCTGAATTAGCTTGCGGTCGCGTTCTTTCACCTGCTCTTGAAGGGCTGATGTCTTCTTTTTCTCTGCCGTTAACGCGGTCTTCTCTATCTCAAGTTGCTGTTCCAGGCTGTCCCTCTCGCGTTTTACTTCCCTTATTTCATCAGCGAAGGATGTCTTGAGGGCTAGTATTTGAGTGCTCTCTCTGTAAAGTAATTTCAAATCAGTGAAGGATGTACCGACTGTCCAATACTCTTTAATGCAATACACTTCTATACTTATAGCTATATCATTTCTATGTCTCTTTTTTCCTTTCAATCTTCCTTTCGGCTAAAAGTGAAAAATGAGAGTGTGTGAGTGTGTGCAGAAACAAATGTATGTCTGTGTACGCTTATGTCTGAGTTCTTGTGTACATCTGTGCCTGTGTGCATCTGTGTTTGTGTGTAAATCTGAGTCCATGTCTGTGCATCTGCATTGTCAATGCATCTTTGTCTGTATGTGTGTCTGTGCAAAACAAAGCCTATGAGAAGAAAATGCTATAAAAAAAATACTCCGTATATATACACACATATCTCATCCTCAATAGGCTATGGAGAACATGAAGAGTCATGGACATGCCTGCTATCACAATCCAAAGCTCATTTTTCGCAATCTTTAATTACAAGTGAGCCACAGAGATCTGAGAAGTGAACAAAATTACCACTTACTTTGATCGCGTTTCCGCCAGTGAGTTCATTTTAGAAGTGAGGATTTCCAGCTCGGAAGAGAGCTTTGTGTTTTCCGCTTGTAAGTTGGCCACCTGCCGGAAGAGAAACAAAATCATAATGGGAAAAAGAAGAAGACACAGAAGAAGAAGAAAGAGGAGGAAAAGTAGTTGAAGAAATAGAAAAAGAAGAGACACAGAAGAAGAAGAAGAAGGAAGAAGAAGAAGAAGAGAAGAGAGAAAGAGGAAGAGAAGGAAAAGCAATTAAAGAAATAGAAAAAGAAGAAGACACAAAAGAAGAAGAAATAGAAGGAAAAGCAGTTGAAGAAACAGAAAAGAAAGAAGACAAGAAGAAGAAGAAGAGAAGGAAAAGTTGAAGAAAGAAAAAAGAAGAAGAAGAAGGAAGGTAGCTGAAGAAACAGAAAAAGAAGAAGACACAGAAGAAGAAGAAGGAAGAGGAGGAAAAGTAGTTGACGAAAAAGAAGAATTCCAGCTCTTAAGATGAAGCTTACGTTTCCCAGCCTTCTCTTCTTGACCCTATCAACTCACGTTATTTCAGTGGTTGGCTTTAACCACTGAAGGACGAAATGAGGCAATTTTTGTCATGAAGCATCAGTCACACGCAGATTGAAATGTGACAGAGTCGTGGAACAAAGTCAAAATCATCCACTCCATAAATAATGTGAATAAAACAATTCAAATTGAAATAACGGAATCGGAGTGCAAGTTCCAATCCAACATCACTCTGGCGGGAACAATGGGGATAAGTGGTGGCTACTTAAACGGGACAGAAGGATTAAATGATTTTGAACCCTTGAAGAAACTTATATTAAATAAACACATGATCAGTTTCAGTGGTAATGATGCCTCTGGTATGCATATATAAATGCTGTTGAGAGAGAGAGAGAGAGAGAGAGAGAGAGAGAGAGAGAGAGAGAGAGAGAGAGAGAGAGAGAGAGAGAGAGAGAGAGAGAGAGAGAGAGAGAGAGAGAGAGAGAAGAAAAAGAGGTAGAAGACGAATAATTTTTTTTCCATCCTGAACTTCGTATCATTCAAAGGCTTAATAATCTGTATTTGGCTGAAAAATCTCAATTACATTTTTCCACAACTTTCACATAATTACACTGATGCCGGTTTCACAAGAACTTGATCACATAAGGAGTTAATCGACTGAAAACTAGCGCAAAGTATTTCACAAACTCCACAGACCTTTAAACAACCTATCTAGGTCAACTCACAGGCCAACCTTGCTCCTAAAGACGTGAGCATTCCCTGATTAAGCGTATGCTGTGTCTCGCAGCGCATGCATATTCAATTAAATCTTTAAAATTATTGATATGAGAATTTGCACACGTTAATTGGGTCTGTAAATGACAGTCTGGCATGAAGTTCATTAGTGAGGAGATATTACTTTGACAAAACCTTGATATTTTCTCCAATATTTTGACATGTGCTGTGGATTTATAGATCCTCTCAAACTTAGAAAGATAAACCTCTATATATAGCACATTTTGTAGACCCTAAAGCAATACAGATCACACACACACATACATACATACACAAACTACCCACACACACACACACACACACTCTCTCTCTCTCTCTCTCTCTCTCACTCTCTCTCTCTCTCTCTCTCTCTCTCTCTCTCTCTCTCTCTCCTCTCTCTCTCTCTCTCTCTAC